AACCATAAGGGCCTGATACTCAGGTTAGGAATGTTACTACAAGTCAACCTCGTACCCAGGGTTTTTCCTCTTGGCGAGGGGAGAAAAGACCCTGGTAGACGCTGGTCACGTGATCTGCTAAAATCTACTAGCAGATTTTTAATTAGCAATCCAAGATGAGGTCAATAAATATTTGATATTTGGATGATTTTTATAGTTTAATTTATAATTTGTTTTTTGTATGATTGTCGTAAAGGAATCCAAGATAGTTAATTAGAAATCTGCTAGATTTTAGCAGATCACGTGACCAGCGTCTACCAGGTCTTTGCTCCCCAAGAGGAAAGACCCTGGGTACGAGGTTGACTACAAGTTTATTGGAAACTTAAATTTGCCGACCTGTTTTTGTCTCAGCGTGACATAACTCTTAGTGGCTACATATAACGTTCACGCGTTGTTATAACAGATAGCAGGCTTGCATGTCATTTTCCCATGTTCAAGTGAATTGACGTGATATTATTATTATTATTATGTTATTATTGTAGTTTCCCATAATGATGGTAATTGTATTATTTATGCATTAGGTGTGCAACAACAAAGGAAATTGTCACTGCAACAGCGGCTACGCGTGTCCAGACTGCCTAGAAGTCGGACCAGATCAAGGGGGAAGTGTGGACAGCGGACAGGGATGTCAAGCAAGAAAGAAAAGTATGATAGCCCGATGTAATAAATTGTCTGCATTGAGTAAAGACTGATTTACATGCCAATATGGTACCCAGGGCATTTTACCTCACGGCGGAAGGTCATATCATTATATATGTGCATAAACTTTGCATTTCAACTTCGCTTTTTTAACTGATAAACGTCAAGCGAAACCAACTATGGAATCAAGCAGAACAACAGAAAGTTGGGGGGGGGGGGTGCAACCATGTTTGATCACGGAGCAACAACTATAGGGTGGAAAGGTTAGGATTGGCCAGTTCTGTGGAGCTCACTGAGCTATAATATATCCAATCTCGTTCCCCGAGCCTGCGATCCTCGGGAAGGAATCGAAGGCTATGGGATAATCCGTTACCGGAAGCCAAGAATCCTGGCTAAGATTGAACTACGCATTCCATTTCAATGGCCAATCAGATTCCTCCCTGAAACGGATTATCCCAGAGCCTCGCGTTCCTTCCCGAGGATCGCAGGCTCGGGGAACGAGATT